CAGACACATTACGCTCTTGTGGCTGACGTGGTGGAGACTCGGGCAGAGAGCTGAACAAGGTGTTCTCACCTCTGTGCTTCCTGCTGTTCTTGACCTTCAATAAAATGCCATGGCCTGTAGCAATTAATGCCACTGGGGCACCTGAAGTAAAACGAGGCAGATTAACCTGCAGATCAAACAGGCAAAAGGTGTTGGTTTAAGAAACTGCTCGACACTTGTAGAGAAGGCTGTGTGTGAGTGCTAATGAGGGACTGCTTTGATAGTGTTATGAATAATGAATGATACACATTATGCAACAGTTACATGTGGAAATTAATGAAAATCGGATGATTTTATGGTACTCTCTGACAAAATAATCTGCTCAAATCAACCTTTTCTATTTGAATTTGGAATATTAGATATTATTTTCCAATTTATTCTTTTATGATTTCAGTCCAGTTAAAAAATTATCCTACAGTATTTATGATACAAAGCAGGATCTTTTGTTTCAAATGATTTTGTAAAAAAAAAAAATCAATATAGTTATAATACATATGATGAATGTTATTATTTTAGGAAGCAAAACAATTTTAATTAAATTTTCCACTTCCTACCTACCTAATACCCTAATGCCCTAATGCTTGTTCTTGGTATAACAAAAATTATAAAAGAACGTAGCAAAGCAAAACAAAAGCTGAAGCTGCACTTATCATTATTTTTATAATGATAATGAATCAAAAGTGGCAGCACAGTGGCGCAGTGGTTAGAGCTGTTGCCTCACAGCAAGAATGTTCCGTGACCCTATTTGGGACTAAGTGGTATAGATAATGGATGGATGGGTGAATCAGAGGTGTAACATGAAATCGGTTCCTTGAAGTGACTGTCTCAGAGAACTGTATTTTTTCTCAGTTGTACTCAGTTTTGGAGTTAAAGAGAAATGAAATGGTCCTATGGTAAATTATACCACTTGTAAAGATTTTCTGTTCTTTGCAGGATGCTCAAAGTGCTTTAACACTATTTGCCATTAACTAAGATGTAATCATTGTCTGATAAATGAAGTGAAAATAGGGCAGGATATGATGCCTCTCCACAATACGATCCCCTCAAAAACACTCTCCCACCTACTGTACTTGCGCAGCTCTTCTGTTATTCCAGCTTCTCTTCCCGTGTTGTCGAAATAGTTTATAAATTAGCTCCACCTGCCACCTAGTGAACATTATTAGAAGTATTTCAAACTACAAGTAGTCCTTTTAAACAGCTGAAAGTCTGAAACACTGCCTGCCAGATTGAAGTGGCCATGCATAGTGCACAGATAGAGTGAGACAAAGAAACAACAAAAACCAGTGTTAACATCTGTTTGAGATGGAGAGCGTTAAAACCAGCCATAGGACTCAAATTTGATTCAAATGTGGCATTCTTCCTTCTGGATTTAATAATTTCTAAAGAGAATGTGACATTAGCAACGTAGCATGGTCCTGATTTTACCTTTGTACTGCATTATAACTATTTAAATTTGGAAACAATTTGAGCTTTGTGCAACCAGAGTGTTCTAGTGATTGACACATTTACGCTTTAGTCAGCTAAATCTAGCTTTGGACCAGACACCACATTTTCTAGAGTGTTTTCAAAATGCAGCACCCGTAGTCATAGCTTCAGGAAACAGCACGGGAGGGCCAAAGAGTGCTAAAGAGTGGATTCTGCCATAATTTAAAAAATATATATATTAATTAGTCTTACTAGATCCTCTAGCAGTTGGATTAATGTTGCTAGGTAGCAAATCGTAGCATCTGTCCTGTAACAAGAACTCCTACTCTTTCAAGGGGTTGTTGGTTAATTCATTAAGCCATTAAAGGAAACATTTGTGATATCACAATTGAATGATTTAATAATTGGATTCAGGCTGTCAACTGTGTCAGTTGTGAGTTGAAGCAATAATCTTTGTCACTCAGTCACAGAGACCTGTGGAGCTCATAGTGCGGATGTGGACAGACATTCAAAGTAAGTCATAGTAAAGTAGACTAAAGTCAAACAAAGGTTGAGCCGTGCAGGCTAGGATGACAGCTGTCTTGGTATATTCATAAATATGAAGTACATTAGAGATACTTTGGATATGACTGGACGCAGTGGGTGTCATACATTTTTTCCATTAAAGCTTACATTTTGAAATAACTGGACAAGACATAACTGGACAAGACATTGCATTTTGATTGCAAGAGATTTTATTTATCTGGCACCTTTGTGTCTGTAGGTTTGACTTAGTGATACTGTATACAGTATATCCTGATGTGGGATCTGTATAATATTTCTGCTCTTTGGTTTCACAGCATCATCTTGATCCACCACTCTCTTTCGTACAGAAAATCTCAACCACTATTTGATGGATTACCGTGATATATTGTACAGCCATTCACTTTGCCCAGAAGAAAGATTAAAATTCACTTTGGTAACTTGGGACTTCTCGCCATGAGGTTGAAATTTTGAGATTTTAGTAACATGTCTTGACAGCTCTCGTGGCAGCTCTTCAGACTACATCCTGAAGTGACTCAAATTCAATTCTGTTAGACAGCTTCAGCTCATTCAGACACTGCTGCCAGAGTTTTAACCAGAAGCAGGAGAACAGAGCACATCACTCCAGTTTTTCAGTCCTTACACTGGCTACCTGTTACCTACAGATTTGATTTTGAAGTGCTACTCCTGGTTTATATATCACTCAGTGGTGTGAGGCCAAAAGATGTTTCTGACCTCCTTGAAGAATCCAAACCCAGCAGGGCTCTGACATCCTCAGGAAACAGTCAGCTGCTAGAACCTTGGGTCAGAACCAATCAGGGTGAAGCTGCTTTTACCTACTATGCTGCACACAGATGGAACCAGCTTCCCAAGGACCTGAAATGTCCCAGCTCTGCCACCTTCAAGTCCCAACTGAAAACTCTGTTGTGCCTGTGTTTGGTTTCTATGCTGCACCTTCTGCATTGTAACTGCTAGAGTTCTGTTTCTTTTATTTTGTCTCTCAGTTCTTATTTTCATTGTATGTATTTTATCTCATTTTAACTCAGTGAAGTTTTAACTTCACTGTCTTAACTGGTGCTGCCACTGTTTTCTTTGCCTCTGTAAAACACTTTGAATTGCATCTGTGTATGAAATGTGTTGGCAGCATTTTCACTGCCGTTAAACAAGCTTTCCACTGTACAGCAATGTTAGAGCTCTTTTCTGATATTAGAGGGAAAATGCTGTCGAATTTCCAGCACTCAGAGACATTCTTCTCTGACAACATGGCGTTGTCAGCTGGTCATAGCCGGGCATATCCGACTCAGGTTGCTTAGAGCAAGGGTAATGATTTGACTGGCAGGTGAGAGGCAGTGCAAAGCCAAACAAGAGAATCAATCAAAACAACAGTCAAAATGTGAGCACATGCTGCCAGACCAATGGAGACAACTCCTTCTTAGCCACTGTGGTCTTGATGGCATTGTGCTCAAATTTGTCTCCTGTGGCTTAGCTGGCTGGAAATATGACATCAAAATCTCCACGCTCCATTTGTGGAAATGAAGTGGACATTGCTTCTCATTGTTCAAAGAATTCAATCAGCTAAATTGTAGTCAGCACACCCCGGTGACACAGTCGGCTGCAGCTAACTGGCACCTGATTGTTCAGCAACCTCAAACTTCATGGACCAGCCAATGGTTCTGCATCTTTTAGTGCATTTACAAACTCATAGATGGAATGTTTATGGTTAACAATGGCATGTTCTGAGGCTTAATAATGTCAAAAAATATTGGTAGCACAACATGAAAAAGTTAATATTAATGTTTCTTTCTCTTATTGCTATTCAGAGCTTATAATAGTAAAAAGACAGTATAATGTTGCAATTGAGTTATTAGTTGAACCTATCCTAACTTTTAACCCACAAGTGTTTTATTAATGTAGGCAAACTGGTATCATTAAAAGTATGCCTAATTAGCATTTTGCACTTATAGATGTACAGAAAACTATCACTGGGTTACTCTGATATAGAAGAACACTTCAAAATATAATGATCTGGCGTTGTGATATCACCTCTTTTATGATATTTATGAATATTTATTCATGATGGGCATTGGCCAATAATATAACATGTACATGCAAATATAGGTGCCACAATTTTTACTTAAAATCAGACCGATAGAGTTGATTTTTTTTAAGTACATAACTAAACACATGCTCGAGTGGGTTGAAAGCCATATGGGAAAACATGGAGTCAATATTTGAAAGTGCAAAACACAGGATTTGCTCAGAAGATATCTAATATAAATGAACAAAAATGCTGTACAGTACACCAAAAATATTATCTCTCCATTTGGAAGGTCGCTGAAGTGATACACATGCCAAGTGATGGTGGGTGTTTCTTGGCTATGAGTTTGGTGTTTAATGCACTCAGCTATGGGCTGTGGTAGAGGAGAGATAATCAATAAGATACTCTTTTTCAGCCCTGCATATTCAACAGCAGTAGGCTTCATTCATATTGCAATCCATGAAGTAATCATGTAAATATCCAGTAAAGCACATAGAATCATTTATACTGCATTTGAAAATTGAAAAACATATAGCTTATTAGTCCTATTGTAAGCCCCACCAATTGATTTTTAAAAGTCTGTTTGTGTGTGAGTCAGCAGCTTGTGGTCTAAAGATAAAGTTTAATTAAGCTAAAAGCTTCACTGGCTCCCACAAGTCCTTTCCAGTCCCTCCTCCAAACTTCGCTGAAACTTCTGACTAATTGGACACCCCTCTCGCCATAATCTTTGAGCCCAAAAAAGATTAATGAGCGGAGACATTTCTGCGGCATGCACCTATTCAATAGGCATTTTGGCAACACTTGCAGACTTTTAGACAGATTTCTTGCTCGGTCATGTTTATAAACAAGAGCTGATATGAGGCTTTTTGAGAGGCGGTTATGGCCTATGATGCCACTGTCCCTTCACAAGCACCCAGCTCTTTGTTGACGTCTTTCTGCATCACTGACTTTTGCTGTTCGTCTTCTCTTTTCTCAGGTTATGGGCATGCAGCACCTGGGACTGATGCAGGGAAGGCCTTCTGCATGTTTTATGCTGTTCTCGGAATCCCTTTGACTCTTGTCATGTTCCAAAGTCTGGGCGAGAGGATGAACACTTTTGTCAAGTACCTCTTGAAGCGTATCAAGAAGTGCTGTGGCATGAGCATCACTGACGTGTCCATGGAGAACATGGTGACCGTTGGCTTCTTCTCCTGCATCGGCACACTGTGCATTGGGGCCGCCGCCTTCTCCCATTATGAGGACTGGAGCTTTTTCCAGTCCTACTACTACTGCTTCATAACATTAACAACTATAGGCTTTGGGGACTTTGTAGCCCTCCAAAAGAACCGGGCCCTTCAGAAGAAGCCCCTGTATGTGGCCTTTAGCTTTATGTATATCCTGGTGGGCCTGACGGTCATCGGGGCCTTCCTCAACCTGGTGGTACTCCGTTTCCTTACTATGAACAGTGAGGATGAGCGGCGGGACGCAGAAGAACGGGCCTCGCTCGCCGGAAACCGGAACAGCATGATCATCCACATCCAGGATGAGTCGCTGCAGCACAGCCGGCAGCGACACGAGGCGTACCGAGCAGAGGTGACTGATTTGCAGACAGTCTGCTCCTGTATGCACTACCACTCGCGTGACTTCGGCAGCTCTGGGGGAGGGATGGGAGGCTGTGCCTTCTCTCATCAGAACTCATTCAGTTCGCAGCTGAATCCCAATCAGTACTTTCACTCAGTTTCCTACAGGATTGAGGAAATCTCACCCAGCACCTTGAAAAACAGCTTCTTCCCTTCACCCATCAGCTCGGTGTCTCCGGGCCTTCACAGTTTCACAGACAGTCACCAGCTTATGAGGAGAAGGAAATCTATCTAAACCGTAACACACAGGACAAATGAGTATCCACGTTTTATACACAAGGTCAAACATTTCCAGTGCTGCTCCTTAGAAATCTTATTTAAGCACTTTTTTCCTCGTTTGGTTGTATGTAATATAAAAAGTATTCTGGGGAACAGAGGAAGAACACTGTGCAGAGCAGCATGCGTGGACACTATGGGATGAAGAGCATGAAGCATGGATGTCTATTTTTTCAAAAGATTGCTTCATTTAAAACACTAAACTAACTACAAGACCTTCCTTACAGATTTACAGTTCAAAATTGATATATTACCTTTGGTTACATACCAAATAATGCACACTTACGGAAATGTTATTTTTCAAAAGGGAGTATACTTGTTAAACCTCAACTTGGGGAAACTTTTACGGTACCGTTATGTGCTATTTCATTGCCTCACTGCAGAATTTAAAATGACTTAATCATCAGGTATTGTTTTCAGAAAGCAATCATTTATTCCAATGGTTTCATCACACACAAAGCCAAAATGTTATCACCAATATTAGCATGTGCATTAGATGTCGTTTAATGAATGTGCCATGGTTTTGTGACCTTGTTTAGCCTGTTTAGCCATATGACGGGTGTCTGTTTGTTTTGGATTCAAAGGATCATGCTGCTGTTATTGCTATTCCCCACTGATCTAGAACTCAGATATGATTACAAAGGCTTTAATTTCTCCTGGAGTCTTTTTTACAATGGATTGTTCAGACTGACCTAAAGGAAAATCCAGCCTTCTGAACAGCACTGTTAATATGCCAACTCTTTAATTTGTATTATTAGCTGGATGCATGTTTTTCTCCCACTGATATATGGAATCAATTCAGCTCAAGTGCACTGGCTCCTCTTCACACAGACTGGTTTACACTAATATTCAGTAATCATACAGCGATCACTCCACTGTTAAAGTGGAAGAGAGACCAGCTTCTTTATTTATAGTCACCTTAACAGACCAGAATGCAGCCATAGGTATGTCACAAAGAGGTAACTGGGTGATTTAATATTGCTTATAATTGGGAATGCACAGGAGATCTGCTAATAAAAAAGTCAAAACTGATGCAGTAGAGGCTGACATACCTGACTCTGGATCCTACAATTCCCATGATGCAAGTCACCTTGGGTTTTTAATGCAGGATTTGCATTAAAATCTAATCCAATTAATTAAATTCTAAATTTAAAGCTCATACTGACAAACTGAATACCTGTTTTCACAGGCTGAGTAGTAGGTTATCCCTCACGATGTATAGCCATAAACTGAAGCATTATGGGAAATACTGTCCAGGACTATTGTGTCTGAGCTGATGAGTCAGGCTGAGGAATGTGAATTTACAGGTACTTGGAAAATTATCAAATGACTCTGATGTCACTTCAGTGTCATCACAGACTGATGACATATCCAGTAGCAGTGAAAGAGGATCTGAAGATGGATTCTTCCTTTAACCTACAGCTACTAAAGTGAAATTAAATGACTCCAGATGAATCTATTGGCTATGTAAATTTGAATTAAAGGACCAAAGCCCTGTATAGTATACGACTGTAGCAGCTGACCCTGCGCCAGGTTTAACAGCAAAACTGTCTGTGTTAGTGGGGAAGCATACTGACTAAACTGACAACTCTTGAGGTTTGGATGCACTTTGGAGCTAATCGGGAAACAACCTGATAAACATGGAATGTGCTGAAACAGTGAGTGTGACTTAATGTGAGGGGACAGCTGATAAGAAACACTTAACATCAGTGTGATCCTTTCAATTCTGTAAATTCTCAGAGGAAGAACTAGGATAGGGAGGATTTCTGTATGTTTGAAAGATCTAATAAGCGCATGAACTTTGTAAGATGAATGGGGAAATAATTTCATAATATCTTTAAAAGCATTTTAATGGTAAATAGTCTCAAGAATGATTAACAATATGAGATATTTGTTTTGCCAAAGCCCAGCAGTTCCTAAGGGAAAAGCCTTTATTTACCTGCTTTCTAACTTTCCATTCAAACAAATAATAAGGTTTGCTCTCAGGTTTGAATGAATCACCCTTTTTTGTTGGTTTGCTCCTATATCAAACACAATCCCAGAAGTGCAAGCATTATCGGCTAAACAACACAATGTATATATCAACCCCTCATTTCTAAATAATATGAATGAATTTCCCAAAAAAATGTGATTGAGATGTATCATCTCACTAAGGCCCGTGCAGGTTCTGAAGCAGATGTGTTCACCCGGAGAGAGTCTGCATAATAGGCATCGTGTGAGAATGCCAAAGAGCTGGAAAATATTTGAGCAATTCTGAATGTTTATTTTGATTACAGACCTGTTTTTAAGCCCAAGCTGTATTTTCTGTTATAGCCGGTCCAGTGGCAGGTGCCAAAAATTTCTCTTACACTGAACTACTAAATTAGGCAGGATTAAAAGCTCAGCATGACTAATATTTAATAATAAAATGTATGTTTAAGTATTTATTGCCTGTTAAGAATAGAGCAAAGTGGGGATTTTTTTATACCCTCTGATGAGATCTATAGCATTTTACTCTCTGAGTGAATTCTATCTTTCAAAGTGTACAAATAGCTACAAAACCCAACAATTCTTTCACCAACATAACAAACCTTAACTTTCAACAAGTGTTCCCTTCAGTATTCTTTGCAGTCTATCATGTTCAACAGGCTTCTCTTAATTCCCCGTGTATCTGCGCATGCCTCACGAGGTGATTGCCACTCTGTCTGGGTAAAAGGTAAAATGCCATGCATCCTATTCAGTGACGATCAATGTAACCAGGCATGGAGTCCGAGATAAGCAGTAAAAGCATTGTTTCGTTATTGGAACTATACCTGCTTATCGAAATATCTTGTACAATATGTTTATAACAACCTTTGGAATACAAAGGCCTTTTCATGGCTAAGATGCATATGTATTTTTCCACATTAACATATGTGCCTTGATGAAAAAGTGTTTTTGTTAAAGTGGGCACATTGGAGTATCATGGCTGTGGTCTGTTTGTGCTTTAGCAAACCAGTTGGAAGCTTCTGGAATTCTGGCAGATGTGGTTAATGTATAGACAGTTCGAAGCCATGTTCACACAGGGAGCTAAAAAAGAATCAACTCCTGGTCTTACATAGAATCACAAACATACCCCGCCGCAAAGCAGATTCATCCATTTCCTTACCTTTGACAGGCATAATCATCCTATAATGGCTTCGAAGATAATTCCAGTTTATTTTCATAGTTTTGGCCATCAGTTTAATTGGTAATAATAACACAGAACTCACAGAGGTAATTGTTGAGATTTGGAAGAATCGGCAAGGTGGGAGAAGTCAGATGGTGCAACAACGGTAAGCAGTCAGAGTAGACAGGTTTAAAGGATAAGTCTGGCAATATTTCATCAAATCCCACGAAACCCACAGTAAATTAATGCTACTAATGAGCATGTGTGTATAGCCAAAGATTGATAGATCTTATTCCTCTGTTCCACAGAGCTCCATTTTTATCCAAGAGCTGTTGAAAGCACAGCTGGCATCTTGTATTATGAGGGGCACTGTATTTTATTTTGTGTATCACCCCACCTGTGTGGATTAGTCCCCAACCAATGTGTTTGTTTGAGTAACATTTACTAAAAAAAAAAGAAAATACCCTGCTCATACACTTGTTGTTAAAGTCGCAGCAGAACAAGCTAAAAACACAACAATGACATATTATCTATCACCTTAGTGAGTAGTTGTGGCTGACATGCCTGTGTATAGCAGACACAGCAACATCACATTTTATTTGGAATAATGTATCAGCAAACTTCCTTTTCCATTGTTTTTGGTCTCTGCCAAATCCTGAGAACGATGTTCGGCTCCTTTGCTAGCTAGATGCTTATTTTGTCTGGTTCTGGACAAGTAGCATACAATGGATATATCATAGCTTTTGCTTTTGTTGTAAACATTTATGACCATTTACAGATCAACTTTTTGGACTAATATTTAATATGTTGGTTAATATTTGCAGTGGTGGACGACGTACTGTGGTCCCTTACCTAAATAAAAATACAGTAGCAATAACACAGTGTAAAAATACTACAAGTAAAAGTCCTACATCCAAAATGTTACGTAAAGGATAAGGACAGTCATTTTCTATATGAATAGTATTTTAAACACTCCCCATGCTAAAACCAACAATGATTTACCTGTACTCACAGTTCATTGTGATTGTAGTTGGTGATTGTAGTGTCTGTATGGGAAGTGTTGAAAAAATTGTTAATATAAAAAATGGCCAACTAAGTTAAAGTATGACGTATTATTATCAAAACATACTTAAAGTACTAAATTACCTATTATGCAGAGAAGCACATTTAACATTAATGTAATGCACGTTATTGAATTATAATTGCTGATACATTATTGTGTACATTATACATGTTTAATGTTGCAGCTGGTAAAGGGGGAACTCATTTAATCAGGCTTATATGCTTATAATTTGAAGCACTTTACATACTGCTGGGTAGCCTGAGGTCAATAAGGTCTAATGATTAGACTATAACTTTTGTATTAATCTGGTCTTGAAGTGTAACTGGTGACTAAAGTTAAAAATCTGACCTTGTTAAGCACGCCACAGTGTTTCAGTTCCAACAGTTTTGGCGCTTGCCCTTTTGGCTTGACTTCCAAAAAATAGCTGTTTAAATAATCTGGTTAAACCGCTGGCTGGTTTATCATCTGGCTGTTCATTTCCTGCCTCACTGGACTCTGCTGTGCTAATGTTGCCTTATTCCCAGATCTCAGCTATTACTTTAACGAATACAGCATTACTGTATCTATTAGCAGTGATGGTCATAAGTATGAAAATGAGTAGAATTATCATTTAAACACCTCCGACACCAAGGGGGCCGGGAGAATATCTCCTCATAATACAGGAACTGTGGCTGAAGGCAGTTGCTGTTGCCTTCCTTCCACTTAACAGCCAAACTTTTTCAAGCAACATTTTGGGAAATGTATCAGCCATAATGGATTTGTTTTAAAAGAAGCAGCAAACAAATGAACTCATTTGCTGTTCATGAGCTGCAAGTCAGGTCGTTTTTCATAACCCTCCCACAAACCCACATATTACTCAGATTTGTCTGCCATCGCACCACGTGTCATGCTGATGGCCCTCGACGGAATGTTTCTCTGTAACACAGATGGTGCAGAGCAGCCGCCACACACATCATCGCCCTCAACAGACAAACAGTGTGACATTTTGTTTTCTCTTCTTGTTTCCCTGCCATGTGGCATCAAAAAACCCAAAGGTGAATTGAAGTCTTATGGTTACTGGCTGTCGATTTTCTGCATTTTGTACGTAGCCGTGCTTGGCTTCCAGGCGTCATTTACTGCATGTGGCAGTATGTGGAGGCCATTTCTCTGTCAGCAGTGCCATGTTTTCCTATGACAGGGACAAAGAGACAAATTGCACTATTATCTGTGTAATACAATATAACAAAAAGGCTGTGTTCCTTAACTTTATGAAATATCCTTTGCAATAGATTCTTCTGTAGATCTGATGAACAAATAATACAGAGTATCATATTCTTTACAGAAGATTATATTCCATCTCGTTGGCATCCATGTGGTTTGACAGTCCTGTTGAACCCACTGACATCTTCTGTCACAATTCTGAAATGGATGTCTGTACAGTACACTCCAATATGGGTCCCCTCTATTTTCAACACACAGAGAATAGATTGCTGAAAATTGTTCACAGTGAAATGAACATTTTATGCTTTCTTGTCTGTTTTTTGTATGTCTTTCTTCATTTTATTTTATTTTATTTTATTTTTAGTGTGTGTGTGTGCATGATTTGGTGTGAAGGACTCACTGGGTTACAGGGCCTGGGTGAAGCCATAACACACTTGAATAAAAATGATGAGCCTCCTTCTGAAAACCTTTGTCTTTCTGTAACTGCCTAACATCAGCAACTGCTCCACTGGCGACTAATCTTTTGACTTCACAAATTTACTGAAGAGTTTTTTATTGTAAAACACAGGAAGGCTTGGAGTTATAATATTACAAATGAATTAAAACAACATTTTCATGGATTTCTAATTGCGCTGTAAGCCGGCTTCTCAAATTAAGTTAATTAAACGTACCTTTTGGGTTTGTTTCATTTAAAAACCAAAAGGTACAATTTTTCTCAAGATTGCAAGATTTTTATCAAGTCAAATGCGGTTTTACAATATTTCAAGAAATAATTTCATATATTGGTGATTTTTTTTTTTGCGTTCTTGCAGAGAGCGAGATGAGACTCATGTGTGTACTTTAAATATGAAGTTACCTCCAGCAGTTGCTTATTGTAGCTTACACTATGCCTGCACTTTGGTGAAAAGCTAGCCTCGCTATGTCTGAATCAGCTTCCTGCCACCTTTAAAGCTCATTAAATGACACAAAATCTGGCAAATTTTGACTGATAAAAGATCTTTGCTGATCTTTGCGTCTTCTTTCTGAGTGTAGTGCAGCTGGATGTTCAGTAGGTGGGAGAATGAGGAGGCAACATCCCTTTTTATCCCTTCCCACACTGCATTAATTATACTGTCCGCCATGAATGTCAGGCAACGCTGAGGGCGACACAATAAGAACAGTGGCAAAGGGGTGTTAAGGCCTTCTCTTGGCGTTAAGCCTGTAATTTTGCATCTTAAATGATCATGTAAGCAGAGCCAAGCTGCTGGGCAGTGGGACCATCTCCACCGTACCAATGATATGATGAAGCTGCGCAATAAGCAGGTGTTGACAAGCTGCTTTTCGGGGGCCCAAGGCAACAGAATGAGACAGCAAAGAAGAGGAGATGTTTAGTGATGACTGAGTCTGTCTGCATGATGAAAAATGGAGGAGGCACAAACTAACATTAAAATGAGTCTCATCCATCGCAGGAAAAATTTGCATCCCTCTGCCTTGAAATACAAAAAAAATGAGACTCATTTCTAATCTGCAAATGATTGGTTAGAAATAATTATTGCCTTAACACTGTACTGGCACTTTGTTACTGCAGACACTCACATCATAGTATTTTTGCAATGTCAGTGGGAATATTTTCATTAAGGGGCAAATCAATACTGAATTTCTGCACTGCCTTGTATGAACAGCAAGTAGGTTTCAGTTCTGGCAACACCCTACTCCATAATTACAAACTATCATTCACAACATAGTTATGAGATTATGACAGTTTCTGTGGCTTTCATTAGCTTTTAATATGTCTTGAAAGAGGAACTTTACCGATGATCTGACTACAATGTGCTCGGTTGGTACACTGCTAAAAGCTACTGATTTGATCACAAACAGTGGTGATTTAGTTCAGTTTCCTTCAAGACTTGTTTGTACATATACTTAACACCTCTTATGGGGGAGAGATCTTGTTATTCCATTCACTAAATGAATGTTGTTTAAATCGCAAATTTTGTTTAGTTTGATTGTTGGCCCTAAACTTGAACATTTTAACAGTTAACAAATGTTTGTTACTGCTATCTGAAGCCACACTCTCCTCTCATCCATCAATAGGCTATTAGAAGCTAGATGAAACACTATTCTGTTTAAGATGTGATAAGATGTGTTACCACATCAAAAAGTGCCAACAAAGGAAGAAGACACCCGCTATTTACACTAACATGCTACTGGTTCACTGCAATGAATAACCAGGAAGTGTGCCTAGAATTCATACACGGTTTCATGGAGCAGGAAAAAAGGCCAGTTCACACAGAAAGCATTTTTAGATGCATTTTACCACCTGTCTCAGAACAGATTTAATTTCCTTCTACCTGCTGTATCAGTTCACACTGACTCTGAGATGAGTGCGTCACCCCGGACCCCTTGTGTTTTTGTACACTTCAAGCCCCTCACACACATAAGTACACCAATCAGCCATAACATTATGACCACTGTCAGGTGAAGTGAATAACACTGACTATCTGTTACAGTGGCACCTGTCAGTGTGTGGGGTATATTAGGCAACAAGTGAACATTCAGTCCTCAAAGTTGATGTGTTGGAAGCAGGAGAAATGGGCAAGTGTAAGGATCTGAGTGACTTTGACAACAGCCAGAGTGTGATGGTGAGATGACTGGGTCAGAGCATCTCCCACACTGCAGGTCTTGGTGGGTGTT